AGTTGGCCTGATCTGTGATCAATCATTATCATCTAGAGCATATATCTAATATACAGCATGATTAACCGTTTCATTTACTAACAACTAGACATAATATCAGAGACATATCTGATTATTCGTCTATGATTTTATCTGTTACTATTGATAAAATAGTACGTAATTAGATACTAAGAATAAATTGTAGCCTTTAATCGTTGATCATTTTTGTGGAACTCACATGTACTTCCGAAAAAAATAGTAAGTGTAAGTTTTTAGTCGAAGTTTTACAGCTCTCTCCATCCCTTAGACTCTCTCCATTATAGACACCTAGGAACATGCTTCCCATTACAGACATTATTAATCCTCTTTCCCCAGATCTCAGCAACCGTGGAATGAGGAAGCCAAAAATGATTGTATATATTTCCATAGCAACGAGAGATGGCACGTAAGTAATAATAATGTTTATATCATTCTGAAACTTAATAGATTCTATCAGTTTAGTCGAAATATTGCGTTTTTTTATTTTTCATGCAGCGAAAGGATATTATTGAAGAGATTAATCAATAGGAAGGTCGTCGTTTCGATCTAACACAGTCACATTAAAACGAACCCAGAAAAATATGAACTGATTGAATTTTAATTTTATGCACAACTCTGTAGTATATGTCAAAATTCATCGAGAGAAAAGATATAGTATACGGAATAGTTTACTGAGCGATAAAACTCATGTCTATAGAAGGCTAATATATCAGTGGAATCGACGAAACGAAGAGTTCAATTATATTTGCTGCTGTCTATGGCATGTATCGTAGATATATCATCATTGGAAGAAAAGAAACTATGAGCTGAAGATTTATCTAATAATATAAATAAATTTTTATATTATAACGAGGTAAAATGAATAAAATAAATTGTTAGATAAGTAATTAGAACTGCTAACATTTTCGAAATGATTAAACTTCAGAACGCTGGTATCGAATATAAAAATTGTTCTCATTTTGATTTATTCATTTATTTGACATTTTTTTTAAAATAAATTATTTTAAAAGGTCTGACAATATATCGTAAATTTATGAAAGTCAGAGTTTGTGAGTTTTACACTATAGCCCCGCATGGGGCCGTACTGATAAGTTTTTTACCTGTTTCTGAATAGCATTTAAAAGTCACAAAAAATACGCATATTAATTATATTATTTATTCGCTAGCATAAGAAATCGTAACATTTCATTTCAAAAGTTGCTTGTATTTGTATACTAGACAAAAAGTACGTTATAAAAAACGTCTTAAAGTTAATAAAGTGTTCGGAATTCAAAATGTCAATAGTTCATTTTCTCTTATATAGCAACAACATCTCTATATGGTACAATTTTGTACTTCGTATTAACGAGCCAAAGTTTACAATACAATCGTATTGATGGTCGATCATCAAATTATTACTATGAAACAAAAGAAATAATTATTTCAGTATCTGGCAATTATTCATTCACAAGTTCTAGTACTTTCGCTGCATATTGCTTTTTGTATGCCAATAGTTTCAATCCATCGGATCCGTTTTCGAGTTTGGTTGCACAAGGTCATAATAGTGCTGGCAATGGACAATTTCAATTTACTATTTTCCTTCCATTTGATAATACAACGTCGAAGCGAGTATGTAATATTGTTCTTGCTGATATAAGTTATATTTAATTTAACAATAAATCGATATATAAGATATTTTCATTGTTAAAAATCAACTTTTACAAGAGAAAACGTAACATTATTGAAGTAAAAATATATGAAACCAAAGAAAATCATTAAAGAAAAACTTTGTTAGTTTTCTAAAGACTTATTCATCTAATCATTGCCTTATGGTAACTGATTTATTTTTTTCAAATAAAAATAGATATAGAATCTATTTGTTATCGATAGTTATTTACATTTATATGTATTTTCTGTTCATTGTAGTCTATTAAGAAACGTGCTACTACAAAATACATTGTGGTAATAACTACACAAGATGAAGGTGTCACTGGTCCATTATCGATTACAGTGAGTGGACCAGATGTGATTGTAGTCAATGGATCAAATGTGACTGTGGTCAGTAGACCATATGTAAATGGAACAAGTACTCCACGCACTACAAGAATAAGTTCAACAAGTAAGTAAAATCAGTTTTTACTTGATATTATTTTATAAAAAATTGAGGATCGTGGTTAGAATGAAATAGATATAAATAATAAACTCGAACTTTTATAGAAGTGAGTTTAATTATTAATGTAATCTAATTCTAATCTTGATTGATGAATACGATAAGCACTATGAGTAGAATGAATTGGGATTCTTAAAGTTCACTTAACTCGATATGATGATCGACTCCAATTTCTACTGAATTAAATAAATAGACGAAATAGATTTCTGTTTCAAACTATTCGAGAAAAAAGTCTGTTATTTATCAAATATCTTTATTATAAAATTCTTTTTATTTTTTGTTTAAAGAATAGAATCTATATGAATTTGATCTTTGCTTATTTAGAGAATAATGATAACGGCATTACAGCAGATGAACGTGTTGGTATCATTATTGGTAGCGTTTTTGGTGGACTATTGATTCTCATTTGTTTAATTGTTCTTTGCATCATAGCTTATCGCCATGGTTTTTATTACGGCAAAGACAAACCTTTTCGTTCTAATAAAGCATACATTTATAATGGAGTTCCTTTTCATAACGATATAAGCAATGCTATGTTTCAGACTAATACTTTTACTGGTTATTACTTCAAAGATGGTATATGGTATGAACCTCACTATGTTATACTTTCATTCTATCCTCAAGCTGATTACATTGTATATGGTAAAGGAAGAGATAGTTTTGGTGTATATGTTGCTAAAGGAGTCTATTCATCAAGTACTCTTCGAATGGCTTTTGATAAATATTATGAAACAGGATTAGGAAATATACAACAAAATCAGAATCAAAAAATGACTGTTCAAGTTAAATGGAATCCTTTTACACAAAGTTTTGAAGGTGCCCATTATTTAATAGAAGGAAGACATGTTGAAGAACAACCATATCTGATGCAAATAACATATCCACAATATTTTTGGTAGTCACATGTGACGTTCTAACTATTTTAATATGTGCTGAACTAAGTTGTAATAAGCATTGATACAACTTTATATTCCTTCCTTCCTTCTGTCGTTAACCTTATTGTTATTTTTATGAATAAAAAAACAATTCAATCTAATATTAATACGAAAAGTAGCTTTTTGTAAATTCTAAAAGTTGACTAGAATATCTAATATTCTTAAGCAACAATTAAGAAATTGTAAAGAATATCTAGATGTACATAATATATACTCAATAATTTCTAAGTGAATAAATGTATAAATATAATCATAGACGTGCAGTGATACTACAAAAAGTAATCATCACTTTCATTAAAAAGAATTTGAAGAAGTAATAGAAATTTATTGTTTCTCAGAGTATTCCGTGCCTTCTGTTTACATTAGAATAAGATTACTTAATTCAGCATATATATATATTCAGTACGACTTTCTACATCGCTACATTCCAAATACGCGCAATCAATTCAACATCATTCAAATCTATGTGAAAATATTTTTTGTGCTATAAAGCCACAAAATTTTGCATACAATGCAAGTTCATGTTCTTCAACAAGGAATCTCCCGACAAAACTCATGAGAAAAAAAATCTAACTGCTTTCTATTTACAAAGGATATTATTCCAGTTTAAAGCCAATTGCAAGATCCATCAGAATATGTATAAAACTTAAAATTGAGTTTTTCTCGAAGAATCGACTTTGTCGAAGGGGCTTACACTTTTTCTTAAGAGTAAGTCTGTGAGAAAATCAAGTATTTTAGTGCATCGACGATGAAGTAACATTTCAGAATTTGCTGATTTTTCGATATACATATTATAGAGAATAGAGTTCATTGGGTCCTACCCGGATCGGATTCGCCTGAATGCAAGTCTAAAAAATTTCTACTGATCGGATCCGAATCGAAATAAAATGTTGATGCATATAATATTATTTGTTAGATTTCTATAACTTTTTATTCATTTTATTCAAAAAATTTATAACTTATAAGAAAACCGGGAAAAAAATCAATAAAGCTCTCCCGACTACTATCTAAACTTATATTTATCGTGAGGTTAAGCTACAAAAAAATCAACCGACCGAGCCTGGATCCTGGCTGGGCCCAGAAATTCTAGAACTCGATGGGCTCTGCCTAGCAGGCTAAATCTAAATAACAAAATAATAATTCAATTTAACGCTTTGAGTATCACTTATCACAAGCAATTAGAAGATGCAGATTAAATTTTTTCGTTCATATCTGAAGAAGACATATTGAAGAATGAAGCTCCAGCTATATATTAATAGCTTATACAAAATCGAAAACAGCTTAATCGATGAGCAATTTCTTCAAATACTCCAAAAATACTTCTAAAACTTGACCGAGCTGAATATAAATGTGATAGAAAGAATCAATAAAATGTAGACTATCGAATGCATATGCATGACGAATGTTACAATATATATCTGTAAACAAAGAGAGAATATAAAATGAATAGAAACATCAATAACCTACTCAAAAAAAAATGAAAAAGTATATATGTATTACGCACTTGATTAAATAACAATATCAGACAGGTAGATATACATTTTTATACATCAAGAGTCAAACGAACTGACGAAAATCTACCTGAGAGAGAATATAGGAAGAAAGAGAGTTGTCATATATATCAGAATGAACGAGAATGTACACCGAGATCCTCGATATAAGTCAGCAAAACGAAAACTAAAAAAAAAATATTTCTATAGGTATACAAGATTGCTATGTAGTAAGGATAACACAAAACTGTAATTACTTTTTAAATCATCTTATTCTAAAACTATACTTTACCTTCTTAGAAAACTAAACAGTACAGTCAACATAATGATTTTTCCAAGAAAAATCTTAGTATAATATTTTCTGTATATTACAAAATATTCAATGACTTATGAAACATTTTTTCAGCATACAAAAAAACGTAATACGTTGTTCAATTGTAGTATTATTGTTTTTATATTTAGAAATTCTTTGCATCATTCAAAGTGTTGTATTTTTTTAGTTTTTCTATATTATAGATAGTTCTATTTTATGTTTACTAGGGGTGTCAGATTAGAATTAGTATGAACATTAAATAACGCTAATATTAATGCTTTTGCATTAGTATTATTTTTTTTTAATCTAATGCTTAGGCATTATTGGCAATAGAATTAATTAATGCTTTGGTTTTACCATTAATTTAGCATTAGTTTTAACCTGTAATGCATAGTTTCACAAAATAGAACAAAACTGTCCTGCTTTTGGGAATATGGCTCATGAGTCAATTATCGATGAGTCACAGGCCCAAAAAAAAATAGCACAAAATTGTCCTTTTTGGGGGAATGTGTCTCATATATGGATCATCGGTGACTCATTAGTGAGTCATCGATATGTCTGAGTAGCGAAAAACAAACAGAATGATTTTATTTTGGGAAAACTATGCATTACCTGTTAAGATTAATGTTAGGTTAAAAGAATAATACTAATGCAGAAGCATTAGTATTTTTCTTAACTTAATGCCAACACGACACCTCTAATGTTTACTGTAAAAGAGTTTCATTGAAATAAATCTGAAAAAAATCAAGACTTTTTTTTTTTTATTTTTTTTCCAACAGTGCTGTGAGGATATTTCGTTGACGACAAAAGGTATACATCATCATAAACTTCAACTGATTTGTTAGAAATAACTACAACAAAACTAAGATCAACATATTTGACAACATGTTTTTATGATTTTTCAATGTTCTTTTAGTAAATTTATGAACAACTGAAATGTACATTATTCTGAGTTTTATTACTATTTTCGCATTATCGCACATCCATAATGTGTAATTTACGTCTTGAATGAAAAGATATAAGTAAAAATTCTTTATTTGTAAATATAATTAATTATATATATATGAAATGCTTTCATATTATTCGTGTCAAAGTGAAAAGTCATGATTTATTAATCTCTAAACAATATATGATCATTAATTTGATAAGCTAATATTAATTATATTTTTTCGATATTTATATCAATAAATAAGTAAAAATAATACAAGTAAATAAAAGAATTACATTCTATTCAAGTCTAAAGAGTTCAATATTCGACATTACTTGATTTAGTTATGAAGAAACTCTCCAAATTGGAATACATAATGTGAAGGAGAGAAAAAACAGAATTTTGACGAGAAGCGCTTTACTTTTCTCACGAGCCAAGATTGTAAAGTATTCCAGATAGTAGAACTTTATGTGCCCTATCATTAGTAGAAATATCAGAGCGAATGATTGTTACCGTATAATGTGCAATTGATCGACATTTTGATAACAAAAACACAAAAAAAAAGACAAAACAGACTTTTTTTAATAGTATTTTACAGGTCTTTATAGAATTTATTAAAAGCTTTGTAGAAAATTGAATACCTTTAAACTTACAGTTAGAAAAACAAAGAGTCAAAAGCCTAACAATTTAAAATGCGAAAGTCAATTTCACTAAAGAAAATCACCTGAAAATCCATTTTAAACAAAATTACTTTTAAAAATTATCAAAAACTCTGTTAGTATTTTAATTGCTTCTGTAGGTAAAAAAATTATAAGATCGAGCTGAAAATTTCAGGAAGTATTAAACTCACTACTATCTATCAAATGTGTAGCAAAAAAAAAAATCAGTGAAGTCTGAAATGTTACTTCATCGTTGATATCCTCGAATATTTGATTCTCTCAGAAACTTATCCTTAATTGAACAAAGAATAAATGAATAAAATGTTCTATTTTGGCTTAATTCAAATTCCCTGTCTATTTGTGTGTCAAGAAAGTTAAGCGTATAGAAAAAGGAAAACATTCTACTACTAAACATTACAAACATGTAACTGAAATAAAGAATACCTTTTCATATATTACTACTTTATATTATAATTAAAAGATATCTAATATTTGTCTTTTTTTTCAAGTTGTGAATATCTCATCAATTGAACACATTCTTCATCAGTGTATATTAATAATACACTTGGCATTTTTCAAAGGACATTTTTATTATTTAAACTGACGTATCGATGATATATGATGTGAAGAGAAAAAAATGATTTATTTATTTGCGCATGATTCAAAACATACGTCATAAAAACATATTGAGTACTGACAATTGAAATCAAGTATTATATGTTACTATCGAGGTATTAATATATACTTTTTCGTAATGATGTCCAGGCAAATATCATGCATAAAACAAATGTACTTGAAGCAGAGAAGAAAATATATACTTGTTATTATGGTTCGATTGTATTTAACTCTGACATAATATTTGATAGACGTCATTAACTGTCTTCATTTATTAAAACTGTATAAGTGATAGATAGATAACATTTTGCCTGACGTATGCGTCCTATGTTATTTTTCATTTAAATGTATTCATAACTTACCGAATTAATGTCACATATTCAATGATTAAATTGTAGCTGAAATGTAATAATTGTTTCTATTGGTACAAAAATCTAATATTATCTCATAGTCACAGCAAAAGTTGTGAAATTACTTATAGCCAAATGTTGCTTCAAAAAAAGAAATTTTAATTTATCTTTCGAAAGTATTAGTTATTGATCGATTATTAAGAAAATAATTTCGATGTGATTTGTCATTGAATCATGCTTCTTCCGATAGATTTCCTAAATAAAATATAAGTGACGTCAGTTGAAAAAGAAAACTTTTGTTTTCGATTTTCCGTCCATCAGAAAACATTTTTTTTACAAAGAAAACGTACTTAAAGAAGAAAAACAAAAATAAAAGGTGAAAAGAGCGTAATACATGATAGATCATCATCAATCAAGTTTTGTAAATTATATATACAACATTTAACGTTAGGTACTCTTGTAATCATCACATGATAATAATAATAATAATAATATTAGTAACAATAATAATATAGACACAAAGAATGCTAGGATAGGTACAGACTTATAAAAGCGCATACTATCTGCTACTCTTCATTGCAATTCGGTAACGACAAGGAGAAGTGTACAAAGGTATTTTACTGTATAAAAAGTTCAATACCTGTCGACAAAATTAGTAAGCGATATTTAACTCAACTTAACATCTTTGTTTTCATATATACCTAGGTACAAAATGATTTTTAATTAGATACAGAATTACGAAATCATTTTCTTTTACTTAAAAATGAATTCAAATTTACCGTGATAACAATAACAGAGAAACTATCGCTGATATATCGATTGATATAATATTCGCTATACCGGCGGGTAGTTCTTGTGTTGTAACATGGTGTATTATATAAAAACGAATGAATGTTTTTGAATTCTGTTAACAGTAACTGAATTGAATCGATTCCTATAGACATTAGTAATGATAATGCATCTGAACCATCTGCGCTAGCCACAGAATTCAAGTCGATCCAAGTTATGAGATAAAACTTTGATATTATAGATGAGATTGCAAAAGTTATTATTAGTAAAATATATTCTGAAACTTTTTCTTCTCGTTGATATGGATTATTTCTAATAAATAATTCGAATTCAATTAGAAAACACTGTCTCAAATCGTTTACAACTGTAACCGAAAATTGTAAGTGTTATCGCCAATGAATTGGCGGTAGTTCGAACATAGAGATAACATGGGTTTCATTTGTATTCAAGAAACATCTCATGTACTTGTTATTTTTAACTAGACAGTCCATCAACAAAGAATTCATACAAAAAATGGATTCTAAATCGATTATTCCTCGATTGCCAATCGATTATAATCAAAAAAAATATCTAAATTTGATCGGTGATCATGATTATTTTTCACGCATATCGATTTAATAATTAAAAGATTAAAAATGACTTTTTGAACGATTTTAAATGGGTTTTAATCAAAAACGATTAGAGAAAAATCGATCGAATTTTGATATTGTTGATTATATTTTGATTTTAATCGAGTTGCAATCGAGTGAAACCCATTTAAAGGTGTATCCTTTTAATCAATAGTTTTAATAATTCTTGTAAATCTTTTTTTTTTACATAGGACAGTAGTCATTTTTACTAATTCTGATTGTAATATATGCACGAATCATTTTTTCTCCTTCGATATCGGAAAATGATTTTCGAAAGCATTTATTAAAAATTTAATTGGTTTGTTATCAAAGAATGAGATTCGACATTTGCCAATAACGGTTATTTATCATATACCATAAGCTATATTACTGCTTAGACAACAAATTTAACTTTTAATTGTGCATATGACTATTCATTATGCTCTAATATAAAAATTATGAGACATACATATGGTGCAATGTACTATTTGTTTTAAAATTTGCCCACATCAATTCTTGCTTATGTAAATTAATAATTTAGGAGAACATTTTTTTTTCAAAACTTTTACGAATCATTCAATGTTCCCATGTTTCCAAGATGAAAAAATATACAGAGTGTTTCAAAAATCCGTCAGGAAGAAAAACGTGAGCAACTCTCGAACAATATAATTGACACACGCGAAATTTATATCATTTATTTGACTTTTTCTAAATTACTTTTTTGCATAATTTTATTTGTACTCGCTATTCAAAATGTTCACCTTGAAATAAAACTCGCAAGTCCACTATTTTCGAGTTTTTGAAAAGTGAATTTACTTGAACTGTTCAAGTACTATTTACAATTTTTATCAAGACAAACATTTGTAACATCCTACACATTGAAAATATTGAGTCTAGAGAAACGAGGAAATAATCTGTCTACCGATTATTAGATCTCAACAATCATTCAATGATCTCTATGTCCAAGAAATAAAACATAACATTGACAAAATATATATTCTATTGTACAAAATAAATATAGTCAACTTATTATTATTCATATATAAAATAACAATATATACTTTATTCTTATCTGTTTAGACTTTTTTACATTTCGAAATCTTTAAACAGAATTTGTTTAATATTACCTGGCACAATATATATATACAATATTGTACAAGAAGCCAGCATATCAAACTAAGGTGAATTATATTCTTTCATATAAGACTTACTACTAATATTTTAGACCTTCTCATTTTTTTTTATAAATGTGTTTACTAAAATCTTCTTGGATTCTGAGGCGAGAGGATAAATTAGTAACATTGAGAATTTTCAGCATGATGTCTCCATTTAATTGATCTGTTGTCTGTTTGCTGTCGTTCAATGGTAGCACAATGTCTTTCGTTAGCTTATCACTATATCAAGAGACTTTCTCATGAATCAACAGTTGAAATTAGTATCTATATTTCTTGTATAACGATTGACAAAATTAAATTAACGAGCATCTTTCGTAATTAGAATAAAAAAAAATGTCACTCTAGCGTTTATAAAAAGATGATACTTACAAGATGAATATAAAAAGTTAGTCTTGTTTTTTAACTATATAACGTTTGAGGTATGAGAGAACTGTATGCTTCCCTATAGACATGCAAAAGGACGATTTCATAAGATAGCAGATATGAAATATAATTTATTAGAATTTTCACATTTGTGAGTAGCACAAAACACAATTTTATATTATAGAAATTGATCAAAGACATCATATGACTAATCAAGGGCAAGTGCATAGAATGACCATTATTTGTTTATTGGTCCTAATTTTTTTTGCTCTTATAACAAATTTACATGGACGACCAATAGCCAAGGTAAGTTTTATACAAAAATGAATTTCCTTTTAAGATAATTTATATTATTTGATTGTTTTAATTAAGGACTTGTCAGGGAGAAAAAGAAGTTTTGAAGAAATTGGTAAGTATCATATCGAAAAATTTACTAATATAAAGAAAAAAAAAAAAAACTATTATCCGTTTCAAAATCAAAGAAGAAAGAGTATTGTTGGAATAATTCTTGATAGGTACAAAATAGAGATGTATGGTTTTCATCGTTTGAAAGACATAAAACTGCATCGAATCGTGCATAATCGATTTCTTTTCGATAGGTTTTCTTAGATTTCTGCCAAATTTTTTTAAGAAACCGAGGATTTTAAATAGGTTTATAAGACGGATGTTTCGTCAAAAAAAAAGCAGAAAAAAAAGTCAATTTTTTGTGAAATATTTGCCAATACCACGTGGCAAAATTTTAATAACTGATGATTGGTTAAACCTTACAACATCGAACTTAGATCATTTGTATATTCCCAGTTAATGATTCTAATACGCTCTTGAAAATTAAAATCCTAAAACTTTTACATTATACAATGCTTTGTTCTTAATAAAATTGATGGGAGATCCTAAGAAAACTTGGCAGAAAAATCTGGTTTATATGATTCGATGCAGTTTCATCTGATCTTTTAAACAGTGGAAATTGAAGATCTCTATCTTGTTTCTACCTAAGGGTATTTCAAAAATACTTAACTTTATCTTATTTTGAAATGAATAATACTTATTTTGATCTCGGATGAACGTGTTGCGTATAAAATGAAATTATTTGACTATGTCAAACTTGATTTCATGATGGTCTAGTAGTTAAACATTGAATTAATCCGTTCTTATATCGACATTAAATTCATTCCACGAGAATGTGTCGTAGTTTTAGAATCAGTGGGACTTAATATCACAAATGATATCTATTAGGGATATTTTGTTTTTGTCAATGATTGATATTGTATGTTTAGATCATTAGTAATAACTAATGTACCTTAGACAAAAACATTCGTGTTAGTTTCAATTAGAAGTTTTCCTAATTAAACCAAACAAAATCATTTTTAATCAGATATTTTCCCTGAATACACTCTACCATCTATTCTTCAATACTAAGTTATTGGCGTCCTCATAAACTATAAATAGACATGACTTATTCAAGACTAATAGAAAAATTCACCATTTTCTTTGGCACAGTTAAGAATTATATATATATGCTTATTCGTAATTTTTTAGGTGGACATTTCGAAGGTGATATAGTTATTCCTCGAATGCCTGTAAGTTGACAATTTATTTTCTGCTCATGTACTAATATTAGTTTCATTTTTTTCAATAAAATCTAGAGAGGCGTGGTAAAGGCTGGTGATGATGTACGTTGGCCAAATGGAATTGTACCGTATACTATTTCGTCAGATTATAGTAAGTCTTTTTCTTCGATATATAATAATAATATTTGATGATGAAATGTAATATGTTGAATCACACATATTTGTTTGAGTTTTTGATGATCATATTTTTCCAGTCTCTTCCTATAATATAACATATGAACTATCAATTGCCAAGATTATGTTTATTTGTAGGTGCTGCAGATCAAAATATAATTACTGATGCTATGCGAACATTGGAGAGCCTAACAGCGGTTAAAAATCTACTTTGTGTACAATTTCGTCCGAAAGTCGATTCTGATGGACCATATTATATCATAATTCAGAATGGAGTAGGCTGTTCAGCTTATGTGAGTAATTTTTGAGGATTTTTTTAATTTATATTTTAATATATATTTCAATTTTTCAAGATCGGACGATACACAGGACTTAGATTGAATCGCACGGTGACATTGGAAAATCCTGGTTGCCTTGACACAGGAACGATCATGCATGAGTTAATCCATGCATTAGGTAATGCAATATTTTTTTTTCTTACTGTTTGTCTGAATGGTTTGAGAAATGGGACGATTCTACACTTTTGTAGTCAAAAATCTCATTTTTCAAAAGTAACGAAATCATGTGTGAACTTTTTTGTTTTTCAGCGAAAATGCCGTATCTTATTCAGTATAGTCAGCTTTTAAAGTCGCCTATTGTTGCATGATTTATTTCCAACAAATAGAGAACATTTCAAATCATATATAGAGCAGAAAAAAAAACTAAAACTAAAGAGTCTAAAAAATTTTCGATTCGACAAGAAATATCTCTTAAGTATAGGATTTTTATATGAATTTAATTGACTAATCAAAGTAAAAAGCCAATAATGTTTCCAAAAATAAATGCCTTTTTATTTTGAATCTGATTAATGTACCCTTGTACTCGAACAGTGTCCGCTACAACATGTTTTTTTCTTGATAATTTTACTTAGTCACTTTCTCCACAGGATCGAATTGATCTAAAATATAGTTATACAGAAAATTCTTCATTTTGAACTAAATGTAATCTTCGTGTGTGCAATAAAAATTGTTTACATCGATCGATACTAGTGCAATAGAATTCTTGTTACTAAAAAGAAAGTACCATAACAAATATAATTTTATGTAAATTTAGGCTTCTATCATGAACAATCACGACCAGATCGCGATGATTACGTCAAAGTCATTTGGGAGAATATAATACCAGGTTATACAAATTTTTTTTCATTACAATTGTTATTTAAAAGTAATTAAAATATTTTTATTTATTAATATTGACTAGGTTTGGAAAGTGAGTTCGATAAATATAATACCAGTGAAGCGGATACTTTGAATACACCTTATGATTATGAATCAATAATGCACTACGGTGGTCAGTATTTTAGTGTAAACGGTTTGGATACCATTGTGCCACTTAAGTCGGGTGTCACACTTGGATTACGCAACACTTTAAGTCCGATTGACATCCAAGCAATTCAATCTTTTTATGGTTGTTCGGTACCTACATCTACAACGACTATTACCATCACTGACACGTCCACACTCTCTACTAACGATACAATAGTCACTGATATAACATCTACAACCACTACTACAAGACCTACAACAAGAACAACAACAAGAACTACAACAAGAATAACAACAAGAACTACAGCAAGAACAACTACAACGACACTCGCCATCATTAAGAAAGCCACTGTTCAGGCATTCAGTACCAGAAAAGTCCTCACTACCCTAAGCAATACTAAAAAGATCACTGTTCACACATTCAGTACCAGGAAAGTCCTTACTACGCCACGCAGTACTAAGAAGATCACTGTTCACCCATTCAGTACCAGAAAAGTCCTCACTACGCCACGCAGTACTAAGAAGATCACTGTTCACCCATTCAGTACCAGAAAAGTCCTCACTACGCCACGCAGTACTAAGAAAATCATTATTACAACGCGCAAGACTACGACACCGAAGAATAGAAGAACCACTACTAAGAAATTGCCTATTAAGGGTTGAAGAACATTAAGGAAGGTCATATTGGATTATTTTTGAACTTATTTATTTTCTCATTCTATTGTATCTTTTATTTATTTTTAAACTTTTGTCACTTTATCAACAAAGTTCATTTTATCGACTATTCCATGATAAATATCTATATAAAATGAATGCACATAATATTATATTATATTTTCTTTTTCGCTTTCATTTTACTATTTATTGATAGTGGAACAAGCAAGACGGTAGTAGTACTGGGCGAAGTTTTACTTCTTGAATATTTTTCCTTCGCTCATTACACTATCACCGTCCTATTCTTCCATTAATTTTTTTTCGATCTTTTTTTCTTTCATTTCTATTGTATTCTTTATGCATGATGTTTTTTTATTTAAAATTAATAAAAAAGTTGTATAGATATCGTTTATGTTTGAATGAATAGCTTCTGTGATTCGTCTTCTCTTCTAATTTATTTCGTTGTCAATCACTTATGCTTTTCTCATGTTAAAAATACATTTGTAGATGTTCTCATAATGATGTTGCACTATATAGTTATGATGTTGAATTCTTCTCATATATTTTCATTAATCCTTGATGTTGTTTTATTCTCTTTGCCAATTCAACTTTCATTTCTACGTTATAGATTTTTTCACAATTGCATTTTATTAAATATACATAAAATTTTCATCTTCTTTAAAATGATGAGCTGAGTATTGACTGAATTATGTTTGAATAAGCAAACAATGTCGGGCCAGAGGAGTTTTGTGGGTGTGGGTGTGGCGAACAAAAAAAAGATTCAGTTCCAGATCAAAAATTGATGAAACACCAAATCAAATGATTGCATAAAATTAATAAATTGAAAGGATTGTGATGCTTCGACTTTTTGAGGAGTTGAAACGATTTGTGGATATCTAATCAAAACAGTTTTCAAGTATTTCTATCTATATGCTAACCTTATATCTGATAATTATTCGACTGTTAAAACTTTTAACCTAGCTTCCTGTTGAATTTCTTCAAATATTCAATGCTGTTTGGCAGAGCTTTCATTGAAATTGTATAAAGATGAAATAATTCAAAATGTGGCCCCGTTGCAGTGCATATGGGCACTTTCATATGAGAAAGAGAGAACATTTGTTACTTTCTCAAAACACCCTTTCTTCAGTCATACAATGTGATTTGTGTTTCTTGGAGCGAGTAGTCCATGACAGCATGTCACAAAAAAGGTGAACAAGAATAGTTAGATAGCTTGAAGCATTTCAAAAATTTATATAAAACTTTGAAAAATGTATTCATGGTCTTTAAAGAACAGAACTTCGAGAAATACGAACACTGACACCACTATTTTGAGTCTTCCAATTAGAATATTACTAAGGAAGAGTAAGATAAAAACTTTGTAAGACAAGGTAAGGATAGAGGCTCCAAAGAGACGAAAAAGATATGTATAAGAAAATCTTTCTCAGACAGAATACAAAAAAAGTTTACCCTATACATTTCTAGACTGAGCTCTCCCCTGCCCACATTGCTCGAAGCCACATCAGCTAAACTCTACCACAACTCTCTACACCATATATCTCATGTGCTCGAAGTCGCTAAGAGATTGACGATTAATCAACAATTTTTTTCCATGATTCTGATGATTTTTTTAGATAAATCGCAACTTTATGATCGATTATTATCGTTTATTATATCGATAATAGCAGTAATTTTGTTGACATAACCTCGATTGCTACTGTTATATTGAAAAGTTCCTTTTACTAATTTATGATAATGAATATTTTAATTCAAAACTTGACTATATACTTTATTCTACGTGAATAAAAGATCTAATAAGAGTATAAAAAACGATAGGACAAGCAATTTCACTTTGTACAATGAGAATATAGTCGAAGAGAAAGGAAAAAAACGTTCATGTGTTTAACTTGATCTTTTGTTTGAAGTCACTTGTTGCATATGTATGTTTTGTTAATAAATTAAATGTCTAAGACAGAAAAAGGAGTGAAAGCCGTAATTAAAAAGCAAGACTAAAAGAATGACGATAGAAGAAATCATTTTAAAAGAGAAAGACAAATTTTTCAACTTTATATATTAATTGAGAATTGAAGGTTTTATCTTCAACTGTATCTAAATATAGAAAAATTACTTAATCTCAAAACATATCTGAAATTATCTAATTTTATCAAAAACATTTTTTGATGCAAACGAATGTCAATGAGAGATTCAGTACAATCGAATTCTAAAATTGTCCAATCTCGTTGATATCATATCATAGTAGTCACATTCATGCCAAAACAAAATTTTCTTTGGATTTAAAATCCTTCTAATTATATTTTAAAAATGTACAGAAATTTTACTTCATTTTCAATTTTACACCTTTGAGAAATACTTCTCTAATTAATTGATGACTTGCAACAAGAACTTCTAATCAGTGATCAAATTCAATATATCATCGATTTCCGAAAACTCATTTCTTGTACCATAATCATCATTTTACCCATAGTCACTAAAACCGTGCGAATATTCACGACAGACAATAACTCAACTATCTCAGCCCGATCATCCTTAAAATTCTGATTGTGGCACTTATTATTATACAAAACATATATATGAGATCGTCAACAGAAATAGATGTCGCTTTAATTCAATCATTGTTTTGAACTATTAACATATTTTCTGTTGAATCAATTATTATTATATATTTTTAGTGATATTTATAAATAGTTCGGCTATTTCTACGTTCATCTTAAATGGAATGTTTGTTTGTATTATTAGATTGGCTTTTAACCAATTATGTACTATGCGGAGGACTCTTTGTTTTTCTTTTCTTTCTGTCTTTATTTTCCTGTTTGCATTTCAGTTTTGCTCTATTTAACAAACATACGATATAATCACTACTAAGTAATTATTTTTTTTTTACACGTCTCCTAATGTTTATCACGACTAATAAGGAGAAAAACAAGTACAATATGAATTTTCAATCACATCAAATAGGGTATTTATTTATATTATTGCTTGTAATTATATATTGTCGCTAATATCTCTTACAAGGAATTCCGAACAATTACGTAATTCTTGTTTTTTTTAGTTTGATGTGTACTGCAACAAATATGTTGCGTAAAAGAATGATTAATTCTAAATAATATATATATATGTATATTAGCTGTTACCTTGATTCATACAATATAATGTATGTACGAAATAAATATGCGCTAAACACTACCATTGGGCAATTACAATAAATTTGATGGTTAGAACTGGTAAGATTATTTTCAATTTCTCGGTTAATTTCCTAGACTTAATCGGCTAAAAAACAGATCCGTTTAATACATCAATTAAACAAATTATTTCTTTCAAGGTTCACTTTCACTAAAACATACTATCAAAGTTTTTCATAGTAGCAATTTCTATTTTAGTCTGTCATGTTGTATTTTGATACTAACACTAAGAGTAACTAAAGAACATTTTTAATGACAGCATAAACTAAAATTTACTAGCTATTAGAATTTTCCGACAATTGGTTATTGAGCTCGAAATTTTCAGATGAAAAATCTTTAGTTTAGACTGATATTAACTTCTCTTATCTGACTAATTTTTCATGAGTATAATAAATTCATCCAATCTGAGATCAAGCTCGATTATTCGTCAACCTTGATCACCTTCAATATCCTAAAAATTGATAAACAATCGACTGGTTTAACTTCACGTATTCCAACACTTCAATATCATAGCAGTAATAATTTAAACATTTTTTTTTTAGTTTATGATCGATATCTTGTACTGAAGGAATAACTTCAAAAAAAAAATAAAATGACTAAACACATGTTCAAATTTTATAAATGATCAATTGACAAAACAAAAGCAAGTAATATTAAAATAATATTTCATCTAATCAATTCGACCTAATTGCCTTGACTTTTTTTTTTCATTTGTTTAGAAAAAAAATTAATACAAACAAAACAAATAATAAGGTATGTAAAAAGATTTTTTTTTTATTATTATATTTATTTCAATGACAAAATATTCAGATGAGTAAGAATATTTGTATTAAAAAAAAAAAAAAGAGTACCGAGTACGAGAGTATTTTACTGATTTTATCTATTTGTAGATTTAGACGACAGAGGCAGGCAATAGGAAGAGCCCGTCTTTCGGTAGTTGTCATTCATCTCGTGAACGAGTGAGAGAAACATAATAGCATTTATGAATACGGTTGTATTGATCGACAGAACACAAGTCTTCTTCGCGTTTGTATTTCGATTTTACAAAAAACAAAAAAAAAACATTCTGTTCGTGTTTTGTAACGAGAGGACTATATATATATATATCTATGTATATCTATTTGTATATAATCAAATTTAATGTACACATTTAATTGGAATAGAAGAGAAGAACAAAAGTTGAGATTCCATTTTAGATCATCTAACAAATTAATAGAATAAATTTATTTTCTTGATTAATAAGATGTCAGCCGATACATTACCAACAACCGATATGGTTGTTAAAGATGAGTTAAATTCTTCAATAACAAATAATCAACCAACAGAATCATTAATGAATGGTATTCTACATTCGGATAATACTAAGGATGTTAATGAAAGTTCAACGGAAGGACAAAATGAAGCAATACAAAATACTTATGATAGTAATGAACAAACATCATCGAATAAAAATGAGTTAGAACCAGAAGCACTACGAAAAGTTTTTATTGGTGGTTTATCTTATAAAACAGAAGATCAAACTTTTCGTGATTATTTTTCAAAATTTGGAGATATTGATGTAAGTAATAACAAAAGAAAATCTTTATGTTTTTTTTTCGCTTTCGATTAGGATTGTATCATAATGCGTGATCGTGAAAATCGTTCTCGAGGTAATTAAATGAAATAAGATAAATAAAATTATTTTTCATAAGAATTTATTTAAATTAGGTTTTGGTTTTGTTACTTATTTATCATCAACAATGGTTGATAAATTAATGGCTGCTCGTCCACATGTACTTGATTCACGTGAAATCGAACCAAAACGAGCTATACCAAAAGAAGAAAGTGGTAAACCAGAATCATCTTTAAGTGCTAAAAAATTATTTGTTGGTGGCATTCGAGAAGGAACTATTAATGAAGATGATCTTAAAGAATATTTTTCAAAAGTAAGTTATTTTAGATTAAAAAAAAAAGACAGTGACACTTTTTCAAGTATCAAATCATTTTTCGACCGAAACGATGTTCATTTTTATGGGTAGTAGAAAATTTTACAATGATCTACTTTACTAAGCTTTTGTTCTTGACATATCGTAGAAAATCGACTTTTGACTTTACACTCTCCATAAAATTATTTCTTCTCTGATGTGTAAAAGCAACTTTTGTTCATATATTTTCATCTTCAGAAAGAATATACTGATCATGCTGTTTGTTCCATCAAATAAGGATCGTCTTAGTTGAAAAATGATTTGATATCAGAAGAAGTCCTTTATTGAAAGAAGAAAAATATTGTTAAGTTTTGAATTCCATCGACCAATCTTTATTTAACATTAATCTATAATTCCACGATGGTAACATTGCTAATATATAAATAGTAACAGAAACAATGTCCTTTTGTAACTGTTCGATTCATTACTCTTCTTTCAATAGAGAAAAAAAACATGGAACGAAAAATTTGTAATTAAAATCTTTGTTTTTTCTATTTCTCAGTATGGTCATATTATTCAAACTGTTATAATGAAAACAAATGAAGGAAAATTTCGTGGTTTTGGATTTGTTGAATTTAATGAGTAAGATACTTGTAAATTTCAATTTGTTTGTGTTATTTTGTTTTTATTTGATTTTAAGTTATGATCCGGTAGATAAAATTGTACTTGAAAAACATCATGTTATTAAAGGAAATCCAGTTAATGTCGAAAAAGCTTTGCCTAAAGAACAAACAAATCGAGGTCGTATATCACAATCACAATATGGTGGTCAAAGTGGCAGCGGTGGTGGTATGCGTGGATCATCATCAAGAATGAGTGGTGGTAATGGTGCCGGTGGTGGATGGGGACCAATGGGTGGTGGATCGAATTTTGCTGGTGTTGGTGGCGGTTATCGATCAGTTGGTGGTGGTTATGGAGCCGGTGGTGATTATGGTACTAGATCAGCACCCTATGGTGGTGGCTATGGTGGTGATATGGGTAGTGGTGGTATGGTAGGTTATGGCGGATCGGCACCTATGGGCGGAAACGATTATGGGATGGGTGGATCAGGTCGAGGAAATTACAATGATAGTAAGAGAAAAATCTATTTGAAAGTGTTAGATTTTATTTTGTTTGTTAGGTTTTGGTACATGTAACCAACCATCCGGGTTTGGTTTTGGTGACAATTATGGTTCATCATCGGGTGGTCCTATGCGACGAGGAGGTGGTGGACGTGGTGGCGGTGCTCCTTATAACCGTGGTGGTGGTCGTGGTGGATTTCGTGGCCGCAATCAACAATAAATAATAGAAACCATTCAATATTTGTATCCACATTTTTTTTTCTAAGTGTTTGTGTGTATATATATATATTAACATAGCGAACAAGAACAGGATGAGAATGGATGCATTACCGTCGTTTTCTATAAATATCTATAGATTTGTTGTTCGCATTGATCTCTCTTTTTTTTTTTGTTTTCTAAAAGTACAATTTCTCCTTTGTTGTCTCTGTTTGCTGTTATTATCTATATATCAGTATCATTGTCCTGCAGAACTAAATAAACTCGTAATACGTGCGATGTATTCAATCGTCAATTGAGTTTAAGTTTGTCTTATTCCCAAAGGCTAATAGAATGACAATCCAGAAAAAAAACCGAAAAAAAAGAGAAAGAAAAGCAAGAAAAAAAAATGAATGTAAGCATAAATAGTAATGACATACAAAGACAACAGCGTCGACTCTGTACATAAATATATCACTGTTGTGGACCTCGCGCTGTTCGTCGTCGGGTTTTAGAAGAAAACACAAGTTCCACACACAAATATGTAAAAGACAAAATTGATTAGTAAACGAAAAACAAAAACAAATTGAACGTTAATGAAAATCAAATAAAAAGAAGAAAAAAACATCCCATATATAGATTAAATCATGATAAGAAAAAAAAAATTGTACAAATTAAAATGATTGATCTTATACGAATTGAGACGGCTGTTGTCTAGATTGTTTATTTAGACCCGACGATGAGGTGGTAGTTGAACAGCATTCGTAAAGATGGTATGAGTCGTTGTCGTCGTCAAACTAGATAGAAAATAGCATTTCATGTAGAGCCTGTCGGCTCCAAAATTTTTGAGCTCAGATCCGTTCGAAAAGTACTTTGACATTCTCAAGGAAATTTTCTAATCAGAATTGAATAATTGTCCCGAAGATACGAGATAATTTTTTTTGAGTTTTTTGTATTCAATAAGTATCGAGTTCTGTACATTTCTTAGATGACTAGAGGGCATCGCAACTGAAAGTGTCGGAGCCGATTAACAAAAAACAAGATTTCAAATCTACACCCGACCGAGTTCACAACTAACCCGACGAATTCTAATTTTATATCTAAAAATTCTTTTTAATGTTCTCTCAGCAATGAGTATGACATGATTAGATAAATTTCTTTGAAATAAATTAGATCTAACAAGTCATTATAACGTCACTGAGAAAGAGAAAAGACACAATTCTAATTTCAGAATATGAATATTTGTCAAACACTAAAACCTAGACTTACTTTTTATTTTGACGAATAAAATTTCATTCTTGAATTTGTTCAATATCAAATGTCGGTTGCCGTACAAAAGATTTTCTTCACATATAATATTAATAATGTCTTTTTCATGTCCGATGTATTTTTTCTATCTATCCAATCCATCCCATACATTTGTCTACTACACTCTAAACTACATAACGAACGACTGACCAGCTTGTCGGCGTTGTTCTCTGTCTTTGTTTTTCTCTCTTTCTATTCTTCTTTTTTTTTTTTATTATTACTCAAAAAAAAAAAGAAGAACGAGATAGAAGCGCAATAATACAATACAATACATTTTCTTTTTCTTTTTCTTTCTCTCATTCACTTGCACTCGCTCTTTTTCTATGTATTTGCATTGATGTCTGGACAATGTACACGCAAGAGGATGACCGAGCATTGAATGTTGGTCAGCCGGCGAAAAGTTATCAAATACAACTATCGAAAGAAAGAAAAAAAAAAGCGAGAGAAGAACCAAATGTGCACAGGAAACAACTACCACTATTGATGGTTTGTCGATATGCATATAAGCGCGCGCGTGAGTGCGAGTGCACAGACGTCTAGACAGACCGCTCTTCTAACCTATTTAGTAGTCATCGCTGTTGTGGGAGAGAGCAAAAGGGTTACTAATGAATGTATGTATGTATATAAATATGTATATATGTAATAAGAAATGTGTGAAAAGAATGAAAATACAACAAAGACGAATAAGACAAACTTTTATTATCAACAATTGGATATACGTGCATCTATTATTAGTCTATTGAGACAAAGTTAAAAAAATGTGTGTGTAATCGTTCTTTTATATATGTGTATATAATGTGACACAAGCGCCTAGGTGCTAGACAATGACACCATATATATATATATATATATTGACTATAGGTTTTCAATTGATTATTTATATTGAATATGAACATATGATGAATAGTCGAAAGTAATTAAATAAAAATTATTTAAGAAATTCTTTTTAAAGTACAAAAAAAAAACACGATTTTAAAGCTATCTATTTGCATTACATGTACAATGCGATACTGCGCTCATGCACGATTTATTTTAGAATTTTTAATAGATAAGATTTTAACATTGATTGTATGATGTTTTATTTGATATGCATTGATGTGAAATATTCGATTTGGAATGTAATACAAATGATAGAAAAGATTGAATCATAATGGGAAAGATAATCGTATGAAATTGTGAAAAAAAGAATTTTTTGAAAAACTTACAAAATTATCTTTAAAAATAATCCGAAAACTTGTATTTGTTTCAAATGCAACGCCAGACTATGGAGCTAACTTATCCAGAATAGTTCGACATCTGTATTCAATCAATAATTGTACATATCACCAAAAATTAATCTATGCTTCAGATATCATCGTTACGAGGTCTATGCAAAAACCGAACTATAGTTCTATAGAAGTTTTTTTACTACTCTGATTTCAACTACTGTAACGATTAAAGATCTGTAAATTTGTGTAAACATACTCTGTCAAGTATGTCGATCAGCGGCACTATATGGATTTCGCTTGCTTAAATGGAAATCAATTTATGATGGATAAAGTCTATTTTAGGTGTGAGTTGCATAATCTTAGAAAGCTATCTACTAAAGGTTACCTTATTTCTCACTAAATACATGATTAATTCTGAATATTTTCAAAAGAAACTTCAGTCTATCCTAGAGTCTTTCTGCATCCAAAAGATAAATTCATTTGTTCAATTGTCGATGTTTCCAGATCTTCGACATTAACAAGACGATCATCCATATGTCATATTCGTCTAGTAATAATATTTAATATTGAAACTTGCAGAAAAGGATATCAAACTATAGAAAAACAACTTCTCTAAACGTTTCAGATCAATATATGGAACTATCATTGAATCATGGATTTTCAACAAAAAGCAAGAGATGATTTTTTGCAAAGTGATAGTTATAATAAAATGATCACAATTCTTGAAGAGATTGACGAGCACTCTTGCACAGCTATGAATGTCAAAATGAAAATAGACACCATTCTACACAACTCATTGTCTGCTCAAGCAAGTTGAAAGCGAGTATTGTCACCGGTTAACATTCACGATGGTGGAGTGCAGGCAGACAAATTTTCCAACTTCTCTCCCTTATGGTGACTGAGATCTGAGGGATAAGACATTTGTCTAGAGATGTATTTAGTGATAGATCATTCCGACTGCCATTAACAGCATATTAATCTATTAGTTTTTACCGTATTTCGAACCGTCTTTTTCTTAGCGAATGATCACGTCTTTCCTATTATTTTCATCGTTTTATACTGTTTATGATCGTTCGTATTGTTGTTTTCTTGCAGCTGATATAACTAAATAAGCATCAAAATGGCTGATTCTATCGACTACAAAAAGTTCTTTTGATTAGACCCATCTTTGGACCCGAAGACTTCAAATCTAACGGATCCCATTTCAAATACTTCTTGATTGTTAGCGTTGCATATTGCGTACGAACAATAATTGTTGGTATAGATTTCATCTTACTATATTCTTTTCGGTCTTTTATCTGTCGATTCTAAGGTCAATGATTCCAGCGCCAGGATCTATGAATTTCCGGCAGATTCCCACAGGAAACCGCTATAGAGAGAGAGAGAACGAGTAGAAAGAGAGATTTAAGGAAAAGATATAGATCGTGCACATGTTGATACTGTGCTATCGTATTGTAATTTTGATTAACGAATGTAATTAACAAGAATACAACTAAAACAGTTTATTCTCATTTTAACTATAACATCAATATAAAATCAATTTGAAATTTTCAATTCTAATTTTATAATTAAATGGAATGTATAACTTTTACATAGAAAAAAAAAATGTACATAATAATTTCAATAACAACAAAAAAAGAAAATCAACTAATTTTAATCGTTCTTTTTTTCAATATCTGTTTTTTCCGAAGAAATTGATACAGGTATTATCTGACGATAATTATATATAATCATACATAATATAATAACATTAACAAAACCAAATACAATTGATGCTAACCATATTTGAACAAATGTATTTTTTCCTTGAAATTCTAATTCATATGCATGATAAAGCCACCAACCTTGTGCTAATAACCAAGAACTAAGTAATATAATTAATGTTTTCCATTTTAAATTAATATTTGGTAAAATAATAGGTATAAATATTAAATACCAAAGAAAATATTGTGATGTTGTTACTTTATTAAATGTAACAAATGAAAATGTTAATGCAAAAAGACAAAGTTCAAGTTTATTATATAAACGATATGATAATACTAATGTATTAAATATTTGAGGAACAAATGTAATTAATGAAAGAACATAATTTTTTGGACTTAAATATGTTAAATAAAAATAAGGTGAAAAATTATGTCGTGCATCACGACGTACAATATGATATAAATATGTTTCATGTAAATAAGTATAACCATAATAATAATAAAAAATTCCATTAAGTATAATTGTTATTAATATAAACGATATAACAAGTTGAAAACGACGATGTGTTAAATATAATGATGAATTATGATCAATATGAAAATATAATGCAAGAGAATAAATTATTGGATATATTTTAAAATGAGTAGCTAATGCAAGAAGTATCTAAAGAAAAACAATATTCAATATATAAAAATAATCAAACAAAACAAAAAAAAAAAAAATAAGTATTTACGCCTGTAAGCCATGTTCGTTCATTTGATTGTTTAGCATTATAAAGCATAGCAAGTACAATAACAGCTACAAT